ATACTTGAAATCACGCATACTAATTTGTATAGATGTTACTGTAAAAGCTCGAACTGCAGTAAATCCTAAGATATTCCAGTAAAACCTAAGATTAACCAATTCCTAATGGTAAATGTCCCAAAAGATTTGCGATTCGAACTTTTACTACCATTCCGTTGGTAAATCTTAGGATTTACATTAACGGCACGGTAAATGTTGAAAAACCAAACATGTCATAACGTGCTCAGCGCATCGACTTGTAGCTTGCGAAGATTTTATAAAGATAGAAGAAATTGTTACGGATAAAGAAGTGAGTCTTCAAAATATTACTATACTCTGTGGTCTTCGAGAAGTTGTCGGAAAATTGTCGTTAACTGGAGGACAAGGATTCAAAAAATGTAATTGTGAAAAAAAAATGCTCGACGAAAAAATGCACCTGCAGATCATCAGGATTACTTTGTAATTCTAAATGCCACAGCAGCAATCCTTGTTGTAACAAGTGAAATGTTTTTTAGGTACCTTACCTATTAATCAATCACATTTGATTGTCTTTTTTTACTTTTAAACCAAATAATAAAAAAATAATAATTAAGTTTGACTAGCTTTTGTAAGCATTCATTATGTTTGTATGTCGTCGTTAAATTCCAAATAGAGAAGTACTGATTCAGTTAGTTATGATAGAGATTGAGATATTCAGAGATATACGTTATGTGTTTTTTCAGAATAATTTAAATAAGTTGGTATGTATTAGTTTGTACTTATTATTATCATTATGATACCTTTATAATACTATGTACCTGTTTTGTCTAATAGTTCAAAGTAAATAATTAAGAATTAATCATTGTTTTATTCCTAAAACCAACATCTACCAACTGACAGTGGTAAAACCTAGCACATACTGAATTCCAATGGTAAAAGCTCGAAAACATCGTCGTATCTTCAGAAATACTTACATTTACCAACTCATGTCGGTAAATCCTAAGACTTACACTTAAATCTTAAGATTTACCGTAGTTCGAGCTTTTACAGTAACATAGATACCTAGTACATTAATATTCATAACTAAGTGACCTAGCGAAGACCTATCTAATGTCATTTACAGAACAGTTAGTATGGAAAAGATAATAGTCGTTTTTAGTATTTTCCACGCTGTTGTTGTACGCTGTTTTTTGTACCGTTTGAATCTTCCATAGATATTCACGATTATTTTAAGTCTTTTAAAGTTTTAGCGAAATAGAAGATACAAAATAATACATATGTGCAAAATTATGTGTGTAATTAAAGAAAGCGAAATATACATTTGTAATGACTTTTCTAAATGCCCTAATGATAGGAACGCAGAAGGAAACAAGTGTTGTAGTTTAGAACCTAATGATGACGTCACTATTTGTGTAGTAGGTAAGCATGAAATATTTTTCTGTTACTACTACCTGTTATCTCTAATTGCACATTGAGCTTGTTCGGAACACGTCTCTACAAGAAATTTTAGTTATTGAATGAAATAAAAGAAATATTAATCTGCCCTATTTGGTTAGTTAGTATCTACCTGCTCACTAGCAAGACACAAGACAATAAAACAAATTGTACGTTACTCATCTCCTTTGTGGTGAGTAAGATTCTAACATTGCAGCATAAAATTAAATACCATAAGATCTGGCTGCGAAACACCGCAGGAATGGAAGTACTGAGTGATACGGAAATAGCCGATGCATGTAGGTACAAATACGAGTATAACATATCTGTTTTTTACGACTTCTACGAAGTAAGGGATGCCACTGGCTCACACAGGACTAGCCTACGTAATGGGTAAATTAAAATTATTTTTGTTACTAACACTATAACTTCGTTCAATTACGTAAATTATCGAATTCGACCTCGGGAATTTCAGAGAAGGTAATGAGGAAAATCATGGTGTATTTATAATTATGTAAAAACATACTAATGTGTTGGTGATTCGACAACCCTGCACGCGCGGATCAGCTCAGAGCAGCGGCCACGTTGCAAAACCGCCGAGTTGACGATAATAGCTGGATCATAAAATAAACACGGCGACTGTGATTTATAACTGTTGTCAACATATGAGGAAAAACTGATTTTTTAATTCTCCGCTTTCAACGCTTTGATGATGAGCTATTGTTGTAATACCGAGCGGAATTGCATGATCATATTGACACGTGACCGGGTCATACCTAACTACTTACAGCAACAGGACGCATGTTATTCATTAACTTGCGTACACTTATATGAATTTGTCAAAAAATTATTTCTTAAAAAAAAATTTGAAAGCATATGAATTCACACGAAGAAATCCAACAATCAGCAAACATCTTTCTTTTCCCACCCTTCAAATGAAAAAAGACTGTGATATAAGTTATGTAATAATTAAGTACAAACTGTTATATCGGAATGGTGAACGTAGTTACCCAATAACTCACTATTATTTTCTCAAATAATCAATAGTAATATTATACGTTGAAGATAGAAAATAGTTTTATTATACAGATATAAGATTTACAGCTGTTCCAAGTACAATAACAATACTGGCATATAAGCTATATTCTTTATTTATATGTATAGAGCGTCTACTTAAAGTAATTGGTACAACGTGCGTGAAATTTTACGAATTACATAAAAATCGAGAACGAAATGATCTGTACCGATTCTCTAGACAATTAAATATAAACATTAATCATTATGTAATAAATAAACAACTTGCGTAGCATGTAAATGTCACATTATCTTTGCCGTTCTTTCTATGTCGATCGGTTCCCGAAGCTAATGGCCGCGATATAAGCGATTTTATGTATCTACCTATTTATTGATAATGAAATAGTTTTTGGAAAATCCAAATTGAGTTTATAATTATTTCCTACTATCTTTCTATCGAATTTACTGGTTTATTTAAATGTCTTTGACTTGGTAAGATGAGTAAACGGAATTGAAGTAACATGTTGTTAGACTTAAATATATTTATCATATTTCTTAAATATATTATTTCGTTTATGTAACTGAAACATTTTACTTAAGAAGCAAAATCTGTTTTCCGCCTTCGTGTTGCCCTTTAACGTCTGCTCGAAAATTGAGGGAAAATGAACTACGCCTCCTATTTTGACGCCCACACAAGTCGACATCAAACACCAAACGAATCAATCGACAGACAAAATTATCAATACGATATTATTAAACCCCGTTAACTTATATAACTTGAGAATTGAAGTGCCTACATACATACATATAAGTAGGTCTAAGGAATTCCAACCGCCCGCCCAAGGCTAAGAAAAGTCAATAAAACAAAACCTTTTCAACCAACATTATTTTTAACAATCAAAATAACTTTGTTATAATTTACTTGCACTATATTTGCGTTTATTATGAAATAGTAGATCAGTACTGATTAGATTCCAACAATACTTGTGATCGACCTTCAATCCCATGCAGTCACGTAGGACAAAAAGTATGAAAACATTCATATCTATCTATGCTTAGGTAAGTATGTGCTACGTGTGCTAACATACACATATTTATGGCATATGTTTCTTATCAGTTTGGTCCTACGTCACAAACTTTATCTGAATTGATAACGTTCTGAGGAAGAAAGGTAACTAAACACGTTCTAATCGCCTCTGTTGTGTTTATAGGTATCTAACAGAACATTCTTTCACCAATCAAGCAAAGTAATTTTTATGGCTGGCCTGGTCAGTGTATTAAATAAGATTTATTTACATTATGAAAAATCAATTTTTCTGGCAAATAGGTATGCTTTTACTTGTACGAATTAAAGGTTTATGAATTTTTTTTCAGCATGAAAACTATATGACTTAATTCAAACTTTAACATATCCAAACGGATCCGTAATCAAATTAGAGTAATACTGAAATCTGTAAGTTTAAGTAGTAATCTATAAACGAGACGAGTCACACTAGTACATATTTGAAACTAATTTGTAATTTAAACTTTGTAATTGTCTGCTATACAAAGTGCCATAGGGAGATGCGACACGCACGCACAACTTCGGGATAGAAGCTCTGTAGAAATAGCACGCTCATTTTCACATAATTGAAAAAAAGAACATGAGCCATTTAAAATTCGAATTTCTGTTTAGCCTTCGAACAATGACGCTAACCTGTGTATTTATTTATTTATTCTACAATCTTATATTTTAATTTATTTATACATCTTATGTATGTACTAACTAGTACATATAAATAAAACTACTCCAGGAAGATGAAGTTACCCTACTATACTATTTTATTTACGAAACAAATGTGAAAATCGCTATATTTACACAACATTTATATTTAGAGCCGGTGGAGCGGATAGGTAGTTAATTATTTTTATGAATGGAGTAGAGGGCTGCGCGGGCGCATCGGAACGCGGACGAGCCGCGACGCGCGCGCTGCTTTACGTTCGCTTTCCCGACTTTCCAGTCGACGCAAGCGATGTGCGTGTCGCACAAAACTAATGCAGACCATTTTAACAGTGTTTACAACCGTACAAACACCGTATAATGTTTTTATATAGATACTACTAATCAAAAATTTTTTCACACATGAAACACGTCTTAATTTTTTAAATAAAGAATCTTTACATTTTATTCTTTGATGTCCTAAAAATATTTTGAGTAGCTGGTGCCCAGCCAGATATAATATATATATTTTATTTCTTTCTAATTAATAAAAAAATATTATTTTATTTCTAATGCAAAAATATGTCTGTTGGTTTACTTTAAATATGAGGTCACCTGTTTGTTACGGTAAATCCATAATAGGTTATTTTGATCTCGACAAAAAATATAATCTGCGATAAGTACATAATCGAATTTGGTGTGAGATTGCCTTTAAATAATTGAAAGGACATTCAATTTTTACTATTGTTAAATTCAAATTAAGATATGTTTATGTGTATTTAAAGCAATTTGTGTCTAAATAATGAAAGGTCGCAAATATAGCAAAATGACCTAAGTATGTTAATATAATTAATACAAATTTCGGTAGAGCAATAAGTAATGTAAGATGTGCAAAATGCGTGCAGCGACAAAGCAGCGCACCGCAAGGACATCTCGGGACAAGTCAGTCGTCCTCTATCGTCATGCGCAGGTAGCAGCCAGAGGACGACAAGCCCATTGTTTATCGTTGCTAATTATTATGCCCCAACGCAGACGCTTGTCGAACGTCGCAGCGCGTCGAGCCGCTGCGCAAAAACTGAGATACATAATGTCTACCTGAGATAATTTAAATGTTATTAACATCAATGTTTTTTACATAACATTCTGAAATTAAATTCTCAAAACCTATTGGTTAATTTTATTAAATATTCAATATCATTTTTATCGACAGCGCTCTACTTTAATCATTGAAATCGCAATGACGGCAGAACATTGCAACTATCGCAGTGGCAGTATCGCGCTCGATTGAGGACCGTTACGTGAAAACGTCGAGCGCGCGGGGTGGGGCAGAGAGCCGATACGGTGACGATGGCGCCCGAACACGGCCGATCGCCGAGTGCCGAGACGACGACTTACGAGCGGGGGACGCGGGGGTGCGCCACTTATCGCAGCGAGCTGGCAACGTCGCGCGGGGTGGGAGCGCCCCGCGCCGCAACCTCTCACTCACCGTCGCCGGCTCACCATCGCCATCATCCAGCCAGTGTTACCTTTGACGGTCGAATGCGCGGTCGTTCGCCGTCGTAGCCAGTGACGTCGGTGTCGACACTCGTGCAACACGTCTATGATGTTTCGGTGACTTCAAAGTCGGACTCGTGAGTGAACGATAACTTATTGGCTATCGAATGCTGGAACACAGTGACAAGTTTTGATCTCATTACTCCCTGGATTTGGATTTTGATGAGTTGTGATTAGTGACTATTTGGATTTTTGAGCAAACAGTGAAGTGGATCGCCAAAAAAGGATTTATTCTAAGTGTCAACATTGGATTATGAATTAAATATTTCTGCAGTGAATTCAAGAACTGTGTTACGTGAAAGTGGCATACAAGTAAATATCAGTGTTTTTCTAAATTTTCTGTGCTGGTTTTAATACTTTTTGCAAGTTTTGAAAAATATTTATTTCAACATAGACTTTGAAAAATATTAAGTACCTAAAGAAAAATTTTTCTGGAATAACATTGGATATTCACAAAAAATATGTGAAATGTTTAAAGCCAGAACACACCACCTGTCGTAAACGTACACGCTGGATTTTGTCTCAGCTGATTCGAAGACTAATCAATGCACGGAGCGTTCATCGTTGTCAGATGTCAAATTGTGAAATGAAAACTTGTGAACGAGCAAAAATCTGAGTGCGACAAAATCAGTTACGATTTTAAAGTTTGATTAATAATAATAAAAGTTGTGAAAAATTTTATTGAGCTAAATCTTTATAAATAATCCGACATGAAAATAATGGACAAGAAGCGATTCATAATAATAGATGACGGCAATGAAATTTTCACAAAGGTAAACGATGAACGTTTCGTCAAATGTTGACGTTCGACGAACGGCTGGAGCGAAATTTACGCGCGGTACGCGATAACAGAAAATACGACTGTACGCTCGCGACTGACACGAGTACAATATTGAAGAAAAAAGTAGAATTCACAGTGATGGAAATTTTATTGAGTTAATGGCGATTGGTGGAAATGTCAGTTACGAGCTGTCGTCGATATTTTTGAGTCGCAACAAACCAGGTGCATCGTGTTTCAGGGGGTGCCTTGGAACGGCAGGACGGCGAACTCCAATAGTACGGCTGGGTACGCGGGCTCTATCATCACCTACGGGGGAGCACAAGCTCCCGATACTGGAAAACACAACCCATTGCAAGGGACCATTGGATACAGAGTCAACACCCCTAGGTGAGTGCACCAAATATTGCTATTAACTTTTATTTAGGCAGGTAGTTATATAAGAATTAACGTAGGAATTCATGTTTTTTAATATAACCAAAAATACATTTTTTATGGATGAAATAATATTTATTTAGTGGAAACTTCGTTACAGAAAATGATGTCATAATTTTAAAAGTTGAGAGAAAATTATCGTATAAGTGGCGGTTAAATTATGAATCAAAAATGATGAGTAGCTAGATCTGTAATTTGTTATCAGTTACCAAAACTGACGCTTTGTGTAAGTACCAGCTTGGTTGCCTTTACTGTTTTTATCTTATCCGGAACAAGTTTGTTTACATTTCAACAAAACGCTGAAACGTGACTCGGCTTACCTGTGCCACCTTATCGTAGTTAACAAGCAATAAAATCAAAAATACACCATCTACGTAAATATCTCAAGTACATAACGATTCATGTATTAAATTAACTGTAAAATTCATGTTATAATACCAATATAGCATACCTCAAAATCTATGAAAAACTTAATAATCTTCAGTAATACTCGGGCATTACTTTTCCCCTAATAAACCAAACATATCTTTAAAAGTACACACAAGTGTGACATTGTCGACCGCGCATCACTGCAATTATAAATGAAATGTGCTCCTCCATTCACACGCACAAACGCTTTAGGGCACCCAACACACACACAGTCGCACCTCATTGCACTCACACTACGGCAAACGCACGCACACATCCACGAAACTCTCACACAGCCACATAATGGGAATGCACGCGGTGACTGCACTTTAGCGCTTACAATAAACACAAATAAACAAAACATTTAAACTAGCAACACAACTGAGAGCATCGAACAGTTAAGGATTCATTCCAATATTTTTTTCGTTTATACTTTATAGTTTTGATTTTTTAACTGTAACTATTTGAAATAACTAATTACAGGATTTTCAAAATATACGTTCAAAGCAATGATTATTATGAACCAAATTACAATGTTATAAAAAACTCTGAGCAGGTGTTAAGTCGAAGCGCTCAACGGCTTTGTTTAGTAGTCACCTTTACAAACGACATATTGTTGATGGCAGACTGCCTTTATACAAAACCAATAAGTAAATAATAATAAAAGCGGGGACCGGCAGCGAGATTGTGTGAACAGAACACAGGAAGTCTACTTAACTTCAAGGGTAGGGAAGTTAGGGAAACTGAACCAAAGTTACTCATTAATTTAATATCAAATCATAAAGTGTTAAGAACGTATAAGGGCATTGAAAGTAACAAAGAGATTTGAACCGTTAGTGATCGTGGGAAAAAACGTCAGTTTGAATCGAGCGAGACGTCTGGGGGCGGATGCACTGACACAACATACTAATACATCACGTGCGGCAAGCCCGAACGGATTCTCAATAGAAACCTTAAATATGTCTGCCGTACTGTTGATACACACATAATCCAACGCGTCAGTAACTTCTTTCTCAATGATATCAAGTAAAAAAGGCAAATTTAAATACACGTGTTAATCTATGTTGTTGAATTAGCGATTCCTTTCGGTTCAATATCATCACAGCCAAACAAATTATTATCGGGAGCGTCGCCGTAATAAAGCCCCATATTGACGTGACCGGCCCCACTTACCCTAGGCGACGTAGCCGACCCTTCCCCGCTCATTGTACCGTATTTACCCCGGAACGTTCGGTTCCATTTGTAAACCCCCGGAATCCGCTCCTTGAAGCATGATTCATTCTCCGGACCCCGCATCAATTGATGGGAAAGAGATAGATTGTGTTGTACTTAATTAAAACACCAATAGCCCATGGTTACATTTTACGATAAAACAATTACAAAAAAAATGCTTTGTAACTCTTGTTACGTAGTTGTATTCAAGATCTCTAATTTACATGCTTGCTACCTACGTCAGGTACAAAAATTATAATAAAAAGATTATGGTGTATCAATCAAAATAAAAGACACTTAAGACGTGACTCAATCGATCCAATAATATTAACGCTAACGCTTTTATATTATGTCAGTGTGCGCACAAGCCACAATGTGAAGTGGCATTTAAATGGGGGTGACCAACTGTCGTCGAAACACAGGGGTGGAACACGCCACGGCTTCACGCTACCGCGATAGTAATCTATACGAGACTCACAATTAATGCCTTATTTAACACTTCACTTCAAATAAAACTTAACATTTAGTTATACACGCTTATAAATAATTAACAACAAATCTAAAATATTATATCTCAACCGTTGCAAGGAATAGCAAATAATGCTGATACTTTACTCGTCATAGGCAGCTTAATTATTAAATTTTGATTTAAAAGTAGAAAACGTGATTCTTCTGCAGGCGGTTTCAATACACGATTATCTCGACTGCCAATTAACCAGGAATCCGACACGTCTGCGCACTAATCTAAAATTAACTGCAGCCTATGTATCAAAATACCTACGCGTTACTCGCACATCTCTCAATACTATGCCAAACACCTTCCAGCTTCTCAAAATAGCGGCTTGCCTCCTCATTCATATTGATTTATTTAGAAGTTTCGTATGTCGAAGAACGGGTGTAACGCGCCCACATATATTTAGATCGTGTCCCACTGCACAAAGCACTAGTATTAAATTCCATGAGAGTAGATACCATTTCGCTAGCAGTCGTCATGTCTGTGCAGGCGTGCTTACCGACAGATAAGTCTTTCATAAAGGTGTTCCAAGAATTGTCCCAAAAGAATGCCTGAGATGAACGTTCGCATTCAACAACCCAAATATTTTGAACAGACCGTAAGTGATTATTCGGATGTGGTACCACTTTTACAAAAAGTGTACCAGGATACAGAACACACAGATTTTTTGTTGACTACACATTTCGGTCGGCAAAAAGAAAAAGGTCCAGACAAAACTATAAAAAGAAGTGCAGGCCGGGTCGAGTTTACCTAAGGAAGGACCCTTGTAAATCATCTGCAGCGACAATGAATAGAGACGATGTCGAGTTGAGCGTTGTTGACTTGTGTTTATTGGTTGTCGACGCTATTAAGTATCTGTTAAGCTATTTACGAGAAACTTAAAAGGTATCTAAATGTAACCACCTCACGACAATAAATCAGATATCGTCAATGTTACAGACGACATTTTTAATTGATTGACGTACAGTAGTGCAATCGTAGCTAACAAACTTATTTTAGCGTGTTATGATTCGAATTGTTATATAAAGGTATAGTTTACTACTCAATTAATTTTGTACGTAATCAGTTACTGTTTGTGTTAATACTACACGCACACACACAAATGTATACCTACATATTTATTAAAATAATTTCATACACGTTCACAAAGGGCCAATATTGTTGCTCCACTACAGATGCTCGCAACAATGGGTAGCCCGTGCGAGTGTTTGTCGTGCATTTGTCGAATGGGAATTATTAGAAAGGGCTCCGGGAAGGCTCGGGAATTCGCCCCAAAAGCAGTTCACATGAATCGTTCTCCCACTCCGGCGCCATACAAAAAATCAAACACATCCCGAGAGAAACACAGGGGTAACAACGCGTCACTATACGTCCATATTGATTTTTTCTCTCATTGTTAGTAAAATAATAAAATCACGGCGTGTATTAAAAAAAGATCTTGCGTCGATAGAATTTGGGTTGAATATTGAGTCTGAGTTTATTAATAATCGAAGCGTTAACGTGTGGAATGTTCGATTCTGCAAGGCCGCTTGCAATAGAAACTGCTCGTATCGTGAGTGAAATAATATTAACCGGACCGATTTCACATTTAATATGTACACGTGTATCTATTTGATACATACTATAAGAAGCAATCAATTAAAACACTACTAGACACTGTAACTTCAAAAATCTTGCGAAATGTAGATTATGCTTAATGAGAGTGACATCTTTTATTTATAAAAAAATGTTTGGTATTGTTTTAGCGGCTATGGGTGCGCCGGCGGTTCGGGCGCGATGAGCGGCGGGGGCGAGAACGCGCAGTTCGGCGCCACCGCCGCAATGGTCGCCGCGGCCACCACGGCCGCGATGCAGGACTCGCAGCCTTTTTCGCAGGTAATGCAACAGTTAACAATAGCGAATACAGCATCCTCAACTTAGTAGAAACATTGATATCGTACATTTACATTTAAATCTAAACGTATACACACAAACCTTTGTTGAATATTAATCAATTAATCAAAAAGAGTTAAAAAGCGAACACAAATACTGAAACATGCTTCAGGTCACGTATGCTATTGTACTGATAAAAAATCTCATTTTACAGATGCAAAATAACATGACTATGGGAAATCCCCAATATGGTGCGATGAACGGCTATGGTCAACAGCGCAGCCATAACCCAGCAATGACTGGGATGGGGATGGGTGGCAACAGCGGGATGAATGGAATGACTGGCATGGGGCAAATGGGTAACGCCGGTATGAACGGTATGAACCCTATGGCTCAGATGGCTAACATGGGTATGCATGCAAACATGATGCCATCACAAATGGGGCCTGGACAAATGAGCAGCTCGGCAAAAATGGGGCCAGGATACCAGAGGCGGCATACGCCATATCCGTCCGGAACTATGTTGATGGGCCAGCGGAAGACGCAGTACATGAGTGGGCAGCCCAATTTTGGACCGACTCAGTACCCAGCAGGGTATGGCGGTAGGCCGGGCTTCCAGGGGCAGTACCCTCCACAGCAACCGTTGGGACCTAGTGGAAATTTCGGTGCAGCGATGAGAGGAACGATGAGGCAATCTACGCCACCTTACTCCAATCAGGGGCAATATTTTAATGGTAATGTGCCAAACCAGTTCCCTCAGCACCAGAACAGTAACGCACAGTATGGTGGACAGTACGGAGGTCAATTCGCGCAGGAAGTTGCAATGCGCACTAACATGAGCTACCAGCACAGTCCAGTTCCTGGAAATCCGACGCCACCCCTTACGCCGGCCAGCAGCATGCCTCCGTATATCAGTCCTAATGGTGATGTGAAACCACATTTCAACGAGCTGAAACCTTCTATGGGCATGCAAAGTAAGTTTTCGACAATAATTTGCCTAAGTAAATCCGTATATTTATTGTAGTAAAACAAATTCTTATATTGTTGTTTCTATCATTTTCAGATGACGAGCTCCGGTTAACATTCCCCGTAAGAGATGGTATTATACTACCACCATTTAGATTAGAACATAATTTAGCTGTTAGCAATCATGTATTTCAATTAAAACCTACGGTCCATTCGACGTTAATATGGAGGTAAATATTTTGTGGTTTCATAAATTACTGTAAAATCTTGATGTATTTATTACAGAAGGTGAACTTACAAATTTATATTGTTTCGCAGATCAGACCTCGAGTTGCAATTGAAATGCTTCCACCACGAAGATAGACAGATGAACACAAACTGGCCAGCAAGTGTTCAAGTGTCGGTTAACGCGACTCCATTAGTAATAGATAGAGGAGAGAACAAAACATCACACAAACCATTGTACCTGAAAGAAGTGTGCCAGCCAGGCAGAAACACGATTCAGATTACTGTCTCAGCCTGTTGCTGTGTAAGTATTTATATTTACTACTTCTAATTAATGGATATTTGTTTCATTGCTGCGAATTGTAAATGTTAAAATAGAACTTTGTCTTTAATACTTGTCTTTTCTTTTCAGTCACATCTGTTTGTATTACAATTAGTTCATCGGCCGAGCGTACGAAGTGTGCTGCAAGGCCTATTAAGAAAACGCCTATTAACAGCAGACCACTGTATCGCGAAGATCAAAATGAACTTCAACCAGACGCCAACGAACGGTAGCAATGGATCTAACACTGCTAATGACAGGGACAGCGTTGAACAAATAGCTTTAAAAGTATCGTTAAAATGTCCAATAACGTGTAAGAAGATCACCTTACCAGCACGTGGACATGAATGCAAACACATACAATGTTTCGATCTGGAGTCGTATTTACAACTTAACTGTGAACGAGGGTCATGGCGATGTCCAGTCTGCAAGTAAGTCTCTCTTACATACGTTCTACTGACCATATATCGTGGTAAAATGTGAACAAAATCTTACAAAACATTTTTATTTCAGTAAACCAGCACAATTAGAAGGACTGGAAGTCGACCAATACATGTGGGGCATCCTTAACACGTTAAACAGTTCTGATGTAGATGAAGTGACAATTGACAGTGGCGCTAACTGGAAGGCCACTAAAACAACTAACAATACTGGGATTAAGGTGAGTATTTATCACAAAACAAAAATGATATTTTGTTTATACTTTTCATTACCACACCTACTAAGAAAAGTTGATCGTTTCTAATGTATTATTTATTTGGTTTCCACAGCAAGAAGAAGATAGCAGTGACGGTAGCTTAGGAAAGCGTAGTAAAGCAGTATCACCGGGTTCTATGAACATGCCTACGATGAATAACTGGGACATGAACCAGGCATTATCGCCATACCTTCCTCCAGACATGAACACAATAGCCAGTGGCTCAATGATCTCTTCCTATAACCAAAACGGACAGAATAGAAATTCAAGTTCGAACAATCAGAATTATGATTTCGGTATGAACAATGGGCCTGGCAGTAACGAGTTCGCAGGAAACGGACCTCTTTCTCATCTAAATGAGAGTGTTAACTCATTAGATCCTCTGAATGCGATGGAAAAGAGTCTTAACGATCAGGTAAGAGTTGTTACTATGAAGTAAATGTTTTATTGTAATGGTTTAGATATGTTGAGCATACCTGACAACGAGAATCCGTGTCTTAAGTATGGCGTATTGCAGATGCCGCATACACCACACACGCCGCACACGCCGGGGTCAGCGCACACGCCGGGCGGTGGCGGCGCACACACGCCGGGTTCCTCGCACACGCCGGGGCCGCCTTCCGTGGACCACCACTCCCTCACCGATGTCGACATTCCCGCCGACCTCAATTTCGATCCCGCCGCCGTCATAGATGGAGAAGGGACAGATAATCTCAATGTAAGTACCAACACTGACATAACACTATACAATTTAAGGCGTTATTGATTGATCACGTTTGTTATTAATGAATTAAAAGCAAATATGTATAGTTTTGATAGGCACATTTGGAAAGTCCTCGATTGATATCTTATTGTTAATTACTACTGACTCTTAAAACTTGTATCAAAGCCTGATTTTAATTTCTCCTTTCTAGTTATTGCCGGAGACAAGTGTGGACCCGATGGAACTATTGTCGTATTTAGACGCACCTGCACTAGGTGAACTTCTAGCGACACCGCCGTCATCATCATCGTCGGCGGGCAGCCATCCACCGCGTGCGCCTTCCTCCGACGACCTCCTGGCGTTGTTTGAATGAACAGATAGAGACCTGCAGTATACGTAGACGGAGTGACATACAGGATTGTCAATTAAATTCAACACTTCCAAGGAAACAGAAGATCTCGATAAGTACTTAACAGAAAATATTCTACCTGTTTAGTGAAATTCCCACAGAAAACCTGCTGAAGTCATTAACCGTCTACGTAATACTTGGTACACAGAGATTTGTTCGCCTGAAAGTATAACTAGGCGTTTGTTCAACTCGCAATCAAGCAAGCCAGAAGCCCGATATTGTGATATTAGATTTTAGTTCCTTCTCCAAGTGTCACTGGGTTCAATACAGCAGAGCGTCCGAACAGTAGATGTCTTCAGAATCTCTGTCACCTTGTAAAGGTGTTATCGTCTAGTAGAAGTTCCGATCGTACTGTTGTTTTGAACGCAGTGGCATACAGAGGCATCGATTGTTCAAACAATGATGTTGGAGAACATTTATTAGGTATATAAGTAAAGTATTGGAGGCAACGGCCATAGACACTGCGGTGTTGTGCATGTATAGTTCCTCGCACCGCCGCACACACGGTGGCGCTACTGAGCTCCTTTAACATTCTAAACTCTAGCATAAACTGTAACACAAATTTTCATAAATAATTCAACTTCTTATTCGATATTACTGTAATCGATTAGAGTTTTTGATTTGTGTCCATAATTTGTGATTAGTTCACCGGGTGTAAATAATAAAGAGGAGTTATTTTATTTGTGCTAGTTGTGTTGTGTACTGTGGGCGGAGCCGGGCGCCTCTTTGTACGTATAGTTTAGCACGAGCGCGGCTGGCCCGCCCGGAGGCATTGTGAATCTTATAGTTCCTATTGGATGCGAGCGAACTATAATGTTCAATTGCCATTTACTGTAAACATATTCCTTCAAGTTTTCGCATATTCTGCATTTTTAACGGTAAGATATGATAGGATTCGTGAGTATAACGCTACTCGCTTTTGGGTGATATATTCTAAATGAGTTGTTTGAATAAACAAATAAATGGTAACAAATTAGTTACAAAGTATATTGTAAATGTGAGTGCAAAAATGAACTCTGTTAAATTATTTTGCGTTATGTGAATCGAAGAATGATAGAAATATATTTTAATTTCTATATAAATAGTAATGAACTGTATTATTTGTAAATATGAATCTAGATAAGAATATTATATTACCTAGTTGTATACAGGAGAAGAACATGGCAGATACTTATATGACGGCCAGTTTAGTATAGTATTACTAAATTAAAGAAAAATCTACACATGGTTTTACATGTACATACAAAATTACCATACCTATTAAACAAGCCTACACGTTTAGAGCTCAGTACAGGAAGCTTACAAATTTTAATTTTGTAATAGTCAAATATTGAAAACCACTTAAAGTAGAAGAACATTTTAGATTTATTTATTTTTAATGAGTTCATCTATATATTTGAATTAAATCAAACTAGTCCCTTGATATTTCATTGATTTTTAAGCAAAAAGTTCCTATTTATATAGAAACTAAGCTTCTTAATTCCTATTATTTAATTCTTTTGTAGGTAAATTAATAAACAGTACACGTAGAAATTTGAAGACGTAATTTTAACTTGAATTTCTTTCTTGTTCCATAAGTCGAGCCTACTGTATCTGTGCTCTAAAACGTTTCTCTATTTACAAGTGCAAACCGCAACTGTAAACAAACATACATAAAAGAATACATATTATATATACATATGTTACATCTGTGCTCATCTTAATTTTGTTTCGTTTTGCCCACCTCAGAATCACGTAAAGCAATAATAATGAAGTGCTGATAAATAAATTTTATTTAAATAAATAGAGTTTTAATATGTATATGTATACATTGTTTTAAATATTTATACATTTAATACATAAGAATTGAAATTGCGATGAGCATCGAATTGACAAAATCTTATTTCACGTATTTTCAAATGTTTGGTTCCAATTTTAAAATTTTCGAGTAATGTTGCGCAAGCAAAATCAATTACATTATTTTGTTTTTTTATTAACTTATTTAATGTTTATTGTCTGTATGATTAGAGTAACGCGCAGCGCAAATTGTCAACATTTTATTTTTTTCTAGATGGAATTAAGTTCCCGTAAAATATAAAAGCCACAAAGTAATTTAGATCTTGTAAAATTTTCAAACATAATTTACGGTTAATAAAAATTAATAACAGTTTATTAAAAATATCTCTAAAATAGAGTTGTATGTAAAACTGTCGATTCTTTCACTATCTTATGTAAATTGATGATTTGCGCATCTTTACTTCATGCTATGAATATGGACGCCTCTTTAGAGTTAGTCAAACTATTACGGAAAACAATAAAATTAGTATTATACAAAGCCGTGGTCAATTATTCAAACAAATTATAAATAATTTACGAATCGTTGTCAAATATTTTGTTGTCGTCCGTTCGTGGTTGATTGATTGTGTGTCTAGTTGATCACAGCTTTAGCATAAATTACATAATTTTAAGGGACCTTCAATTCCAGTTAGCTAGATCTATTTATTGTAGTGGAAATTGCTTTTGGATGGATCATCGCAACGATTTTTGTAAGACCAAATAGTAATTTTTTACATGTTTACCTAATTTAGGTAATTTAAAAATTAATGAAATTTGTTTATATAAAATTGAAAATATTACAAAAAATTTATAGCATATCACGTAAAGAAAATATCAAAAATCGAATCGCATGATCCATCCAAGTGAGTAAATGATTACAATATTATTATATATTTTGTTGAATATTATAATGAACTGCTGTGAAGTAGATTTTGTGCTCGTACAAATTTAAGCAGCATTTGGAAATAAGTGAAAAAGAATTCTAAATAAGGTAACATGCGACCCATGACTCTGAAGTTAAAAAGCCAAACTGTACTGTAGCGTATTGAACATTATGTGAAAAGTTTAGCAACCAGGTTGGTACTCAATGAATTCATTTCGAAATGTGTAAAATGAAAAAAAAACATAACATTTTTATGTTATTGAAAATAAAATAAATCTAAAAATTATAATATGTGATTTTCATTCCATAACTGTAACCTAAAAACAAAAGTCAGTAAGTTAATCAATCGTTATTGAACGATTACATAATACATACACAATACAGAAATCTGGATAAAGCTGAGATGACATTCTACTTAAAAGGAGGAGGCCAAACCAACTATTCCCGTATTTATAACAATAGCTCTTTTTACTACACTTATATAAAGATTACCACCATCAAGAGCCACCAACCTACCCGGTCTTTTTAAATCTGGTATTCCCAGCCTAATAATTGGAACTGCCCATGTTCAACAACCCATCCACGCTAAATATAGTCAACTAATGAGCAATCAATTTAGAACAATGGCCGGGATCAAAGATGACCAGAAAAACCAGTTTAGTGCTTAAATTGATGCCTAATTTAAAAAGTCAAAATGGTGGAATGTTTTGAGAAACTCCACCATACACTGTCGTATGTTGTTTGCAAGAAGTCAAACCAGTATGTAAGCTATTTATAAATGAAAATAAAACTAAATCCAAAGGATCCACAGTGCTTTATTAAAGCTCCTCCGATTTTGTATACGTAGCTGTCTAAGTTATAAATGTTGCCATACGCGTCAGTAATTTTGCCTACTAAAAAGACTTTTTAAAATATTAGGCATGGCCAGAACCAGGATATAATTTTTATCTATTATTTTTCAGTGACTTTGAAAACGTTTCTTTTTTTATGTATAAATATATATTCAGGCGGATCACTTGATGTTAAGTGATTAGCGCCGCCCATGGACACCTGGAAAACCAGAGAAATCACAGGCGCGTGGTCGGCCTTTTAAAAAGGAGTAGACGCGTTTCTATAATGTTTGAAAGTCCTATCGGTTCGGAAATACCACTGCCGAAAGATCATTCCAAAGTTTTGCTGTGCAAGGCAGATTGTTTTACGAAAATCGCACAGTTTTTGACTGCCAACCATCTATATGATGGAAAAAATATGTTTTCGCGTGGGTCGATGGCGAAAGGATGCGGCGGCCATTAAACTCAATAATTCCCTGGAACACTCCTCGTGGTACGGGCGACATAGAGCACATAGCGAGACTACATCCCTACAAGGTGCCAAAGAGGTTAGCGGGACTGAGACATCAGGGCAGCCAACGATTCAAACGGCTCGTTGCTGAGTGCGGTCCAGAAGGAGAAACTGGTAAAAGGGCGCCCCACCCAGAGATGAGCACAGTATTCCATATGCGGCCGAACCTGCACCTTATAAAGTAGCATACGATTTCCCGAAGTGAAATACTGCCTCGATCTGTTGAGCACATCTAGCTTCTTCGAGGTTAACTTAACCTTGCCCTTTAGATGACACATAAACAAAATGTTAAATAGGTTTTCTGAAACTGAGTTTTTTAGTTGAGAATAGGTACCTACCTACGCAGACCCTTTGTCTTTGTGGGTTTAAATTGGACACCTGTTGAAGAGGAACATAGCTTCAGATGTGGGTTATCTGATGCATTTACACGCAGAACTGTGATAAATGTTGAGCAAAATTCATCACACATCTATAAAGGATACAAACAAAATTTTGTTTAGTACCTTAACTATTTTTTGCAATGGAAAGACCCAAGATTTAGGTTTAATGCGAGGTACTTACTCTTGAAATGAGAACCAGCGTGATTGTATGTCCAGAAGGCCGGATGTAGCAACGCTATATTCCGTCAACCTCTATGCATAAAATGTTAATAATAAAACAATAACCAACATTAACAGCAATGTCGGTACAAAACCCACTTTTGAAAAATATATTTTGAGCACTTTTGAAAGTCAAAACAATCGATCACTGATTAAAACTACATATTTTCGAGCAACTTACACTGATAGGATGTCCTTAATAATGCCTAAACCTATAGATAAGTTTATTCTATCAATTAATAATATGAAAAATCACGTCTAAAATGGACACTACAACTCCAACGAGATTATTGGTAAATTTTATTGCGCTGGTAACACCGCACACTCGCAGGCGCAGCGAAGCCTTCTCGCACGCACACACGCGAATGGATCTCATGTAAACACGTGCCCTACAGCGCAGACAGTCGATTAGTCGACGGGTTCGCGGCAGGTATCGCGCCCCGTCCTACCGGTTCAACGATAAAACGATCGAACGAACGCCACCGTCAAACGAACTATATTGTATTCTAAGCACAACGAACAACAAGACGGTTTTTAAACATGAACAGTGCGGTACAGTGTGCGCGATTTTGAAACAGGCGAAGTATGCGTTTGTAAACTTCTCCTTAAGTGCATAGCGGTATCGCGGAACCAGATTTTAAGTCCTCGGTGTATTGAAAGTAGCTTTTCTGTTGTTTGTTTAGTCGACCTATTCCTGCATCTGGTTGAATATCAAGACCACGGCGGCATTTCTTTAAAACTTAAGGTAAGATTTAGTTGATTATGATAGTAAGCTATTCATATGTAACAAGTGTCACAAACTTTGAGATTTCGTTTTTGTTGTTGCTCATTGCATTCCAACACGTTTATTACAATTACATTAAATCTGTATTGCCTAACACCCGGTTTTAATTTTAGCTATAGGACGCGCTATAGGCTTTACGTATCTATTTATATTTTTGCCCCTTTATATTCCTGCTTACTAACTTCTTGTTTATTTAATCTTCTTATTAGTGCGAATGGACGTGTACTTCTCTGGTACAAAGAACATGAAAAGCAACTGGGATATTTATGATTCCAAGAATCTTATCTGACGTTTTAAGTCTTTTCAACTTTTTAGGCAGCGGAAAGGTCGGGTTGGTTATCAGCAGGTAGGTAGACGTTTAGACATTCATTTTCGACCAAAAAGACATGTATTGTTAACATACACTTGAATACGTTGAGTTAAGATAAGAATTTATAAGCTAACTAATAGTTTTTGATTATTTGCTCTTGAATAACTTTGAATTAGCCTTCAGGTTTTTGTTAAAAACATGTACCCACCCATTTATAGTTAGACGAAGGTGAGAAAGTTTTTGAAAAGTCATTAACATATAAACATAATAAACATAAGCCAGTATTTTCTAATGCGATCTGGTTTAGACGAGATAGAAAATTCGTAACATATCTACTTTTAAATTTTGAATTCAACTAACCTTAATAATATATGATAAACAGAAAAGTGAAAGAGGAGGAAATGTCAAATGCATTTCCGACTAATACTAACTTTGTTTCAAAAACAGAGCTATCCGATTCATAAAAGCAAAACCAGGTGTATCATGTTTACCAAATCAATAACCTTCATCTTCAAGAATAAAGAAAACCAGACAAAGGTTCACACTTAGTGAACAATGGCGACATTACACATGTACTCTACGTAAGTACTTATTTAGACGGCAAGCTTCTACTTACGGTATATGATTTATGAGTATCTGATTCACTATATATATAAGTAACACCGTTAAGTTAGGAATAATGTTATTTGCTATTGGATTGAACTTCCTTGTTACTTTATAACATGTGAGATGACCTATTTGTCTCGGTTTATTTATAAGATCAAAGAACAATCATAGAGGAATGTGGGCACTTGTTACCCTAATAGTTATACGCACATTAATCAGTAACGCATTCAGAACCAAGCACCACGTCAATCATGCTATGAGTTATAAAAAAGAAAGAACACGGAGATGTTTCAGTGTCCTTCACATATGACCCGCATTTAGACTAGATAACTTGTGTATGCATCAAGAATGGAGGACCAAGTTCCTTGTAGGTACAAAACTTCTAATCTATAACAGAATTAATCTACAGTGGTTTCTTACGATAATAGCAATTCCGGGATGTTCTTAATGGTCATACTTGAACCGAATATCTCTACAATCATTAAACAATTTAGATTCTAAATTAGCTTTCGAAACCTCGCATCATGATCGCGTGAACTTACGACCTCTAAAACTCTTGCCTTCTACACTATCACTTTCAAAGTCCTCTTCGTGTCAGTAAACAATTAATTCTTAATAAACGATTGCCAAAATATCTAAACAAACTTGCGCTTAACTTAGGTCAAAATAATCAATTCGATTTAGGAATCATGTATCGAATAGTTTCAATACATGACAAGAAGAAAATAATATAAAAACTTAATAGGTAACATATTTTGAAGAACCCAAGGCAAACAAAAACACAGATCGACTTCCTGAGTTTTTGAATAATAACGTTAATGTCAAACAATTTTAATTAGTTCATTCTCACAGTATAGTGAGTGTTTTACAAGATTAGTTTTCGCCTCTAAAGCAAAAGAAGCAAATAGGTATACATGAACCAACATTCGATGAGCTGGCGCAGTCAACATGAAGAATAATGAGCAATCAACACGCAAGCTACATGATCCTATACTATAATATGTATGTGTGACCACGTAGGTATATAGATGTAAATCAATTATGTTTGCGATGACCACAGTCATCGCAAGTGGTATTAGTCATGTAAGTCCGTTTACTCGAATTTGGAATCGATGCAATTATGTAAATTGTGCCTGCATTCAAAAAAATATGGATGATTCTAAATTTAGTAGTGCTGTAGGTGTAGTTTGACTTCGCAAAGTCCAAGTTTCTTGTAGCATTGGACTATTTTATATTCATCACTTCGTAACAGTAAACAGTACTAATAATAATGATACCAAGAAACGCTATGATGACATAGCATTTATTTCACTGACACAAGCAGGTTACCGACACTACTATAAGTCTTACTTATTTCAACATTATTGAACTGCACTGCATGATATTCTGCAACTATGAAGTTGGACTGGGTCGCGCTTAAACAGCCTCGACCGTTGCATAACCCAATTTTAAAACAACAACCATTTAAAATGATGCGAATCGTGACGATCGTGCGTTACGTTTCCATCGCTAGGCAAATATTGCGAAAACCTTTTCTCCTGTAATCTGGTACCTAATAGTCTGCCACTAAACA